AAATATATAACACACACACTCCTCTCTAAAAAAAGACTCTTTTATATATATATATATATGTGTGTGTGTGTGTGTATATATATATATATATATATATACGTATATTGTGATCACTCCTTTAAGTCACAAGTTATAAAAGTTATACAAATATATTGTTGACCACTTCTTCGGTGTCATTCTTTATATTATTAGATATATTACATTCTTTGAGCAGACTATTATAGATTTTATTATTCATGTAGAAGCAACTGATTTAATATGAACATATAGATTAACTATTTTTGTTATTTCTAACATATACGTATGGAGATGTTTATTTAGAAGAATACTATAGAATTCTTTTTCGAGCACGGTAGGTGCAGGTACTTATGTTTTTGACCAAGATTAGAAGGTAAACTCACGTTTACTTTTGCCTGGTTTTAGAATTCGAGATGAGCGCCCCGATGTATCTGGTGGGAAAAACAAACACTACAACAACGAAAGTCAGAGGATGAAAGATGCAACCTTCTTAAACGGTAAGCGCATTATTTTGGTTCATATTTAGTAAAAGCCTAAAATTAAATATTCCGAAACGAGCAGAAACGGTGTGATTGTCGGTCATGTGTTCGTGTATGCGGGTAAAACGTTCAAATGATATTTTTCAACAATACAAGTTTATGGGGAATACTTGTGAGTGAAGCAAAATGACAAAATTGAGAGTTATGTGAGGGGCGTAGGACGAGTCTGGTCGTTCAAAAATGTTCAGAATGTCTTATAGCTTTAGTATACTTCCACGCTTCTAGAGACTACGGAAGAAATACGTAAATACATTATGTATACACAGTTGATACTCGTAATTTACCATGGTTAATATATTTCTGCTACCATTATGTTAAGGTAACACAATCTCAGTAATCTCTTCAAATTTTGTTTGTGCTAAAAGTGCTTTCAGAGACTAGTTTAAGTCTCTAGTGGCATTTTTGTTTTAATTATGGAGACATGTATTGATATCGATAGAAGTAAAGCAGAAAATAGATTATTTATAGTCTGTGACTACCGATCTCGGTAACACGTTTTGTGGTAACTGCACCATATTTTAATTGCAGATGACGAATGTAAGGAACAATATGTTACACCCGAAACATGACAGTACGTGAATTGTGTGATCAGGGTTTTTAATTACTTCAAATTTGTAAGGGACAGCTTGGTATATATATATGTATATAATCTCTAGTCATTATTCTTTCATCTTTGTGAAAACAGAACATTGCCACGCTTTATATTCCTCGTATCTTAACGTGTTTTCTAAATATAGTTTTTAAAGTAAAGTTACATATATCCTGTAAATGGTACGACAATTGATTTGACAGGTGTTGCTACCAACGGCCAAAGTCCAGCCCTAAATCTATCTCAAAACAGCAGCAGACTCGGAATTGTGGCAGCGAATCATGTAGGCGGTGATCACAGCGGAAGTGACCTAGCGTATAACGACCTCGGTGACTATGATGATAACGACACGGATTTGGATGAAGACGACGACAGAGAACAAGGTAATTCATTAGGAATAGAAGTAAAAATCCATACTTTGGTGTGACTTATGCCTGGACTGTTTAACAAACTACACATTTTACTTGTGTCGTAACTGTACTGGTGTAATACATTCACACATACAAACTACACATTTTACTTGTGTCGTAACTGTACTGGTGTAATACATTCACACATACAAACTACACATTTTACTTGTGTCGTAACTGTACTGGTGTAATACATTCACACATAAAACTACACATTTTATTTGTGTCGTAATTGTACTGGTGTAATACATTAACACATACAAACTACACATTTTACTTGTGTCGTAACTTTACTGGTGTAATACATTCACACATACAAACTACACATTTTACTTGTGTCGTTACTGTACTGGTGTAATACATCCACACATACAAACTATTATTACGTATTTGTATTACGTATACATAACTTGTCTAAGGCCTAATTTCGACTACCCATTGGCGTATGTTAAAATATAAAGAGCTCTGTTTTTTAATTAGATCACTAACATCTAACAAAATTAAACATCCGTGTTCTATCGCTAACTTTTTTCCCGTGATGGAGAAGCTCCATAACATCTCGTTACTCCACTTCCTTGTTTGTTGATTTGATTGGCAAGTTTGTGTCCTTAAATTTGCATGGCAAGATATGTGAGATTGTATGGTTTGAAGTTGACAAGACAGACACTGGAAAACAAATAGTATTAATCAAATATATATTAGTAAAAAGCAGGAAAGTACAAACAGTCATTTAACAAGTCTATCCACAGATAGTAGTGACTTAACAATTGGGGTAACAAGTCTATCCACAGATAGTAGTGACTCAACAATTGAGGTAACAAGTCTATCCACAGATAGTAGTGACTTAACAATTGAGGTAACAAGTCTATCCACAGATAGTAGTGACTTAACAATTGAGGTAACAAGT